AGTCGGTTCTGCCGACAGACGTATACCCGCAGCCAATGTTTGATTATTTAAATATATTTTGACTTCTGTTCTGATTATTCAAACTCTTGACCCTCTATGGAGAGGGTTCTGAAAAAATGGACCAATATTGAACATTTCATATCGGACCTTAATAAATACGATATAAATATTCGGACGCACCAGATTTGATCTATATTGGTAACTTCATCATAAAATCGAGTGCGTGGAAGAATTGAAAATTCCACATTCCTTTCAATAGAGGCTGGAAGACCCATAATTTTGCCGAAAAATCATCCGTTTACATATCTTATTGTGGAATGGAACCACGTATTAATTTCAACACAGTCATGTGTGAGGTACGTTACACTTTTTGGGTTCCCGCACTTCGTCAACTACTTAAACGAATTCAAGCGAGCTGTGTGTATTGCAAAATACTTCGTGCCAAGCCTCGTCAGCCACAAATGGCGTCATTACCTGTGGAGCATGTGACGTCTTTTGTCAGAGCGTTTACCTATACTGGCTTGGACTATTTTGGTCCTATTAATGTTACCATTCGGCGTCAAAAAGAAAAAAGATGGGTAGCACTTGCCTGCCTGCCTGCTGTGTATTCGAAACTTCATTAATCGAAGTGGTGTCCCAGTGACCATTAGAAGCGACAATGGGACAAATTTCGTCGACATCGCCAAGGAACTTCAAGGTACTGAAAATCGAAGTTGACGGCTTATGGGATAAAGTGAATGTTCAACACACCAAGCAATCCTAGTGAAGGTGGTGTCTGGGAGCGCCTGGTCCAATCCGTAAAGAAAGCATTGTATGTCATGATGTAGGAGCAGGCGCTCCAGAGACGTTTCGTTCCTTCCTTATTGAAGCCGAAAATATGGTCAATTCCAGGCCGTTGACCCATCTTCCAGTTTCACCAGAAGAATCCGAGCCGTTGACGCCGAATCATTTCCTGCTTGATGCTCCAATTCCATTCACACGCCTGCACCATTTGAACCGAGGTTGATGTGTTTGAGGAAGCAGTGGCGTGTTCTGCAAAACATGAAGAATGGTTTTTGAAACCAATGATTGCGAGAGTACTTGCCAGAGCTGACTCGTCGAACGAAGTGGTGCCTGCCTTCGCAACCAGTCACATTCCAACAGGACTCAGCACCATCGCACTCAGCACGCCCACCCAAGAATGGTTACAAAATGAGGTTCCTCGCTTCATTTCCAGCGCACAATGGCCACCAAAATGTCCGGTTACCACGCCGTTGGACTATTGTGTCTGGAGTACTTTGGAAAGCAAGGTTGGCCCTCAAAAATACCAAAGTGTCGATCAGCTCAAGCAAGCGCTTCGCCGGGAATGGGCCAAAATACCGCAGAGCAACATTCGGTTAGCGTGTGACGGTTTTATTGGCCGTTTGAAGACCATAATTCGTGCCAAAGGTGAGCAATTCAAACAAATCTAAAGTTATTCTAAAATTTGATGCCATTTCCGACCTTTTTTGCGTCCATTTAATAAAATTAAAAAAAGTTATGGCGTTTGACTTGCAGTTGCAGTTTTTTGTTATCTCACCCTGTATATTCTTGATCAGCATAAAATTCTATGTCCATTTAGCGTTATTCGTCCGTCTGTGGAAATCACTCTAGCTTCCGAACGAATTGATGTAGGTTGATAAAATTTTACTCAAATGTGCATTATGTCTACAGGACTTTTGGCACTGAAAATGGGCCATATAGGTCCACGTTTTGTATATATATTTCTTTGATATCTCCCATATAATGGTACCTCCTAACTTTCGGTATTTTGGTGATTTTAGCGACATTATTCAACGGAATTGTTTCAAATTTGGTATTAGAAGTTCGTAGTGGATACTATAGCCTATGACAGAAAATTGTCCGTGCAGGTCCAGGTCTTCGTATAGCCCCCATATAACGGTACCTCCCGATATTCGGCATTTCGGTGATTTAAGCGACATTATTCACCGGAAAGGTTTAAAATTTAGTATTTGAAGTTCGAAATGGATACTACAGCCTGTGACAGAAAATTGTCTGTGCAGGTCAACGTCTTCGTATGGTTCGCATATAACGATACCTCCCGATACTCGGTATTTTGATGATTTTAGCTACATTATTTACCGATTTTTTTCACATTTCGCATCTGAATATTGTAATGGATATTAAATGGATTGAATTAGGCCTGAAAATAAGTATGCCGATAAATTTTGGCAAAGATATTTCTGAGCTGTATTTTTGATATATTTCCCTGAATATCGTCGTTACGGAGTACATATTACGGCTGTGGTAACAAATATAACAAATCGGATGAACAATATATATGGGAGCTATAGCTATATCTGAACCGATACATACTACCGATGACATACTAGCTTCTAGACTCAATTCGGTCGTAAGTGCCAAATTCCATCTCATTTGGACAAATATTAGACGTTTGGTGCACGATAAAAGGTAAATCGGACGAAGTTATATATGGCAGTTATATCCAAATCTGAACCGATCTCGATAAAATTTAGCAAAAATATTTCTGAGCTGTATTTGATAGATTTCCCCAAATATTGTTGTTACAGAGTGCATATTACGGCTGCGGAGGACAAAAATAACAAATCGGATGAACAGTATATATGGGAGCTATAGCTAAATCTGAACCGATTTTCACCAAATTTGACATACTAGCTTCTAGACGTTTGGTGCACAATAAAAGGTAAATCGGACGAAGTTATATATGGGAGCTATATCCAAATCTGAACCGATCTCGATAAAATTAGGCAAAGATATTTCTGAGCTGTATTTGATATATTTCCCTGAATATCGTTGTTATGGAGTGCATATTACCAGGGTTCCCAGATTTGGGGATTTGTCCCCAACCTTGGGGGTTTAGAATGCCTAAAAAGGACAAAAAAATGCGATTGGGGATAGGGATTTTACTGGGGATTTGTAAATTTTTTTTGGGGATATTTTAGGAATTTATAATGAATTTTAAACACATTTATACTTGATAAAAATTCGTCAACATGTTTATGAACTTTATGGATATTTTAGCAAAAGTTCTTTTAGAAACGTAGAATACAGGCGGCCATTTGAATTAATAAATACAGGCAATGACAGTATCAGATACCGAAAACTTGTACAACTGTCAAATACTCGGTGGCTAGCTTATGGATGTACAGTTAGACGTGTCCTAGAATAGTGGAGTAAAATATTACTTTTCAATCACTAGTACTAAAGAAACAGACCATATGGCTAAATTAATACATCAGAAAATGAATGATGACAAAAATAGACTCTTTTTAATTTTTATTAATCCGATTATTAACGAAATTGAATTTGGATTTTCAGTCTGATTCTGGAAGTTCATATGACAAAATGTATCAATTTCTTATTTCGACTTGCGCTAAGATTTTTACACCAGCAGCTATGAACTGCTTAAAAATTATGGAAGATATAAGCGATGATTTAATTATTGAAGAAACTATGTTACTTCCGATAAGTGCAGTAGATTTTGGTTCTGAATTCGAAAGTGAATTGATAAATAGTAAATTGGAAATTGTCGAAAAAACAAACCTGTTTTCAGTATTTTATTAATTTAATAAAGGAATATTACGGCTGTGGAGGACAAAAATAACAAATCGGATGAAAAATATATACACTGGAGTTATAGCTATATCTTCGATCAAATTGGGCAAACTTATTTTAAGGCCTAATTTGGTCGTATGTTCACAATTCCATATTACTTGAGCTGATATTATACGTTTGCTGCACAAAAAAGGCAAATCGAACGAAGATATATATATGGGAGCTATATCTATATTTTGACCGATTATTTCCAATTTCAGTAGGGTTCGTCCTTGGACCAAAACAAATGATTTGTGTAAAATTTCATCTTGATCGGACAATAAATGCGACCTGTACTTTTTTTTATAAAAATATATGGGCAGACGGACGGACATACATAAATCGACTCAGAATGTGATTCTCTGCAGAATCATCAAAAGCAACTATGGGTTTATCTCGTTTCCTTTTGCATGTTACAAACAAATGCACAAAGACATAATACCCTGACCACCTTGTGGTGTAGGGTATAAAATTATAGGTGTGTCTGGTTACCCTAAAGTTTGTAACAATTGTTACAAGTTGTTACTGGAAGTCGTCTGTTAACCCAAAAGTTCTGCAAAAGAGAGCGGTTGGAGAGAGAAATTTTGACAGTTCTTTCAGTGAGAGTTTGCAAATTCTTGCTGGAAAAATTTCTTCTTGCAATCACTTGCAACTCTTCTTCTTCTCATTCATCGACATTCAATCAGATGTTTTCTATTGTTTATTTATTTCTTTTTGTGCTTTCAATTTGAAAATATTTTTTTGGAATTAGCAAGACTAATAGTTTTTGGAGAACAACTTTACAAAATGTGAAAAACGTAAATGTTAATATACAATAAGAAAATAAACGACTATTTCCAACATTTTTATTTAAAAAACTTGTAAAATTAGTATTGCTTCCTTTGTTTTAATTCTCCTTATGGGTTTGTTTTGACAAATCAGCTGATTAGTTGCAAGCTTCTGCAGGAATACCGTCTGTTTACTTTTCGCATTTTCCTTGCAAAAGAGAATAAAACAACCTTACTCTCTCAAAAAGAAGTTACTGGACAATTCCTGCTGGAAAAGTAACCAGACACACCTTATATTTATAAATCCATTAAATACACAGAAGTCAGAGATGGGCAACCGGGTTTTTTATTCGGCAAGATTTGACAAGGTAAATGACAGAAAATGCAAATATGGATATATTTTTTTGAAATGACTTTATCTCCTTAATTTTACCATGTTATATAGAGTAAATAACATAATTAGTAGTGTTTAGGGCTAATATATAGGCCATGAGTCAGAGTTGGTCACATCTTTGACAAATAATAAGCGTAACTTACCCCTTTGCGAATATTAATTTAGAAATAAATATTTCTATAGATTTCTTGTGGTTTGTTGGTGGTAAAATACAAAATCATTGTTCCATTTATATATAGGGCAAAGAAACTGAACTCATTCGATTAGTCTGAACCGTTCGTTACATTGCTGCAGATTATAAAATGAAAAGGCTTCTGTTGATAACTCTGTTCGTGGTGGCCATGATTTCCTTGGCATCGGGACAATCATGTGAGTTCATTTATAAAAATCTATAAAATTCTCATTTTTTTTTTGATTATTTTTTTTTTTAATAAAATTCGTCCTCTTTTTAGCATCCTGCAATTTGCCTAGTTCTGTTGTGGGAATTTGTCGTGCCCGAATGCCGTCTTGGTCCTACAATAAACAGAGCAATTCATGTAAATTCTTCTATTATGGTGGTTGTCGCGGCAACGCTAATCGTTTTCCATCCAAAGAGTCGTGTGAGAGGCAGTGCGTGAAAAACAGGCGCGGTTAAGCTAACAAAGAGCTCTTAATTTGATGTTTGCCAGTTTTCTTGAAAGTATTTAAATAAATTGAAGAACATTATTTAATCTTACAAGTTTGATCTTTTTTTGGATAGATGATTACAGAAATCTTTTTAACAAACTGATGGTTCTTTTAAGAAGAAGCCGCACTCGAAGTACCGAGGTACCGTTATATGGGGGCTATACGAAGACGTGGACCTGCATAGACAATTTTCTGTCACAGACTGTAGTATCCATTACGAACTTCAAATACCAAATTTGAAACAATTCCGATGAATAATGTCGTTAAAATTATCTAAATACGGAATATCGGGAGGAATCGTTATATGGTGGCTATACGAAGACTTGGACCTGCACAGACAATTTTCTGTCTTAGGTTGTAGTATCTATTACGAACTCTAAATACGTAATTTGAAACTACTCCGGTAAATAATATTGCTAAAATCATCAAAATACCGAATATCGGGAGGTGCCGTTATATGGGGCCTATACGAAGACGTTGACCTGCACAGATAATTTTCTGTCTTAGACTTTAGATCCCATTACGAAATCTAAATACGTAATTTGAAACAATTCCGGTGAATAAATTCGCTAGAATCATCAAAATACCGAATATCGGGAGGTACCCTTATATGGGGGCTATACGAAGACCTGGACCTGCACAGACAATTTTCTGTCATAGGCTGTAGTATCCAATACGAACATCAAATACCAAATTTGAAACATTTCCGGTTAATAATGACGCTAAAATAATCAAAATACCGAATATTGGGAGGTACCGTTATATGGGGGCTACACCAAAACGTGGACCTGCACAGACAATTTTCTCTCTTAGGATGTAGTATCCATTACGAACTTCAAATGCCAAATTTGAAACAATTCCGATGAATAATGTCGCTAAAATTATCAAAATACGGAATATCGGGGGGTACCGTTATATGGGGGCTACACCAAAACGTGGACCTACATGACCCATTTTCAATACCAAAAGTCCTGCAGACATAACATACATTTAAGTGAAATTTTATCAATCTACTTCAATTCTTTCGGAAGCTAGAGTGATTTCCACAGACGGATAGACGGACGGACGTCGCTAAATCGACATAGAATTCTATGCTGATCAAGAATTATATATTCTTGATCAGCATAGAATTCTATGTCGATTTAGCGATGTCCGTCTGTCCGTCAATCCTTTGTGGGGTCTAAAATGTATATTTCGAGGTGTTACAAACGGAATGACAAACTTAATATACCCTCCATACTATGGTGGAGGGTATAAAAATGATCGTGTTTACTTGCCAAAGAGGTCAGCTGAAAATGTGAACCTTCGGTTGGCCGGCCACCAGAACTCAAGCGCCGGCCATGCTGATGGTGTGGGCCGTCATAACAGTCGATTGTCGCCCTCTGCTCGTATTAATCGACCGTGGCATCAGAATAAATGCCGAATATCATTAATACACCTTCCAGAATATTTTCGCGATAATATTCGGTATTTATTCTGATGCCAGGGTCGATTATGGCAGCCCACACCATCACTATGGCCGGCGTTTGAGTTCTGGTGGCCAACCGAAGGTGGTGCACATTTTCAGCTAACCTCTTTGGCAAGTAAACACGATCATTTTGTTTGTTTACAAACTGCTGGACAACGAATATTTTCCCATCGGAGAAACCAAATTCGCCAGTTCGCCACTTTCGGCCAAGCGAAGCAGCTCTTTTGAGTCTATTTTCTTTCGGTTGCGGTGTAAGTTCCTGCACTTGCTATACCCTACACCACATGGTGGTGAGGGTATTATGTCTTTATGCATTTGTTTGTAACAGGCAAAAGGATAGTTCCTTTTGATGATCTGCATAAAATCACATTCTGAGTCGATTTAGATAGATTTTTCAGGACTTTAATGACGAACACGTCGATTTTTTGAAGCATAATTTTCAAGGACCATAATGGCCACAAATGTGGATTTTTAAAGAACATTTTTTCAAGGACCTTCCATTCAACAGATGTGGATTTTTTAAAGAATATTTTTTCAAGGACCTTCCAATCAACAGACGTGGATTTTTTAAAGAATATTTTTTCAAGGACCTTCCAATCAACAAACGTGAATTTTTTAAAGAATATTTTTTCAAGGACCTTCCAATCAACAAACGTGGATTTTTAAAGAATATTTTTTCAAGGATCTTCCAATCAACAATCGTGGATTTTTAAAGAACATTTTTTCAAGGGCCTTTCATTCAACCGACGTGGATTTTTTAAAGAATATTTTTTCAAGGATCTTCCAATCAACAAACGTGGATTTTTAAAGAATATTTTTTCAAGGACCTACGAATCAACAAACGTGGATTTTTTAAAGAATATTTTTTCATGGACCTTCCAATCAACAAACGTGGATTTTTAAAGAATATTTTTTCAAGGACCTTCCAATCAACAAACGTGGATTTTTTTAAAGAATATTTTTTCAAGGACCTTCGAATCAACAAACGTGGATTTTTTAAAGAATATTTTTTCAAGGACCTTCCAATCAACAAACGTGGATTTTTAAAGAATATTTCTTCATGGACCTTCCAATCAACAAACGTGGATTTTTAAAGAATATTTTTTCAAGGACCTTCCAATCAACAAACGTGAATTTTTTAAAGAATATTTTTTCAAGGATCTTCCAATCAACAAACGTGAATTTTTTAAAGAATATTTTTTCAAGGATCTTCCAATCAACAATCGTGGATTTTTAAAGAACATTTTTTCAAGGGCCTTTCATTCAACCGACGTGGATTTTTTAAAGAATATTTTTTCAAGGATCTTCCAATCAACAAACGTGAATTTTTTAAAGAATATTTTTTCAAGGATCTTCCAATCAACAAACGTGGATTTTTAAAGAATATTTTTTCAAGGACCTACGAATCAACAAACGTGGATTTTTTAAAGAATATTTTTTCATGGACCTTCCAATCAACAAACGTGGATTTTTAAAGAATATTTTTTCAAGGACCTTCCAATCAACAAACGTGGATTTTTTAAAGAATATTTTTTCAAGGACCTTCGAATCAACAAACGTGGATTTTTTAAAGAATATTTTTTCAAGGACCTTCCAATCAACAAACGTGGATTTTTAAAGAATATTTTTTCAAGGACCTTCCAATCAACAAACGTGGATTTTTAAAGAATATTTTTTCAAAGACCTTCCGATTAACAAACGTAGATTTTTAAAGAATATTTTTTTCAAGGACCTTCCGATTAACAAACGTAGATTTTTAAAGAATATTTTTTCAAGGACCTTCCAATCAACAAACGTGGATTTTTTTTAAAAATATTTTTTCAAGGACCTTCCAATCAACAAACGTGGATTTTTAAAGAATATTTTTTCAAGGATATTCCAATCAACAAACGTGGAGTTTTAAAGAATATTTTTTCAAGGACCTTCCAATCAACAAACGTGGATTTTTTAAAGAATATTTTTTCAAGGACCTTCCATTCAACAGACGTAGATTTTTTAAAGAATATTTTTTCAAGGACCTTCCATTCAACAGACGTGGATTTTTTAAAGAATATTTTTTCAAGGACCTTCCAATCAACAGACGTGGATTTTTTAAAGAATATTTTTTCAAGGACCTTCCAATCAACAAACGTGAATTTTTTAAAGAATATTTTTTCAAGGACCTTCCAATCAACAAACGTGGATTTTTAAAGAATATTTTTTCAAGGATCTTCCAATCAACAATCGTGGATTTTTAAAGAACATTTTTTCAAGGGCCTTTCATTCAACCGACGTGGATTTTTTAAAGAATATTTTTTCAAGGATCTTCCAATCAACAAACGTGGATTTTTAAAGAATATTTTTTCAAGGACCTACGAATCAACAAACGTGGATTTTTTAAAGAATATTTTTTCATGGACCTTCCAATCAACAAACGTGGATTTTTAAAGAATATTTTTTCAAGGACCTTCCAATCAACAAACGTGGATTTTTTTAAAGAATATTTTTTCAAGGACCTTCGAATCAACAAACGTGGATTTTTTAAAGAATATTTTTTCAAGGACCTTCCAATCAACAAACGTGGATTTTTAAAGAATATTTTTTCATGGACCTTCCAATCAACAAACGTGGATTTTTAAAGAATATTTTTTCAAGGACCTTCCAATCAACAAACGTGGATTTTTTTAAAGAATATTTTTTCAAGGACCTTCGAATCAACAAACGTGGATTTTTTAAAGAATATTTTTTCAAGGACCTTCCAATCAACAAACGTGGATTTTTAAAGAATATTTTTTCAAGGACCTTCCAATCAACAAACGTGGATTTTTAAAGAATATTTTTTCAAAGACCTTCCGATTAACAAACGTAGATTTTTAAAGAATATTTTTTTCAAGGACCTTCCGATTAACAAACGTAGATTTTTAAAGAATATTTTTTCAAGGACCTTCCAATCAACAAACGTGGATTTTTAAAGAATATTTTTTCAAGGATATTCCAATCAACAAACGTGGAGTTTTAAAGAATATTTTTTCAAGGACCTTCCAATCAACAAACGTGGATTTTTTTAAAGAATATTTTTTCAAGGACCTTCCATTCAACAGACGTAGATTTTTTAAAGAATATTTTTTCAAGGACCTTCCATTCAACAGACGTGGATTTTTTAAAGAATATTTTTTCAAGGACCTTCCAATCAACAGACGTGGATTTTTTAAAGAATATTTTTTCAAGGACCTTCCATTCAACAGACGTGGATTTTTTAAAGAATATTTTTTCAAGGACCTTCCATTCAACAGACATGGATTTTTTAAAGAATATTTTTTCAAGGACCTTCCAATCAACAAACGTGGATTTTTTAAAGAATATTTTTTCAAGGACCTTCCAATCAACAGACGTGGATTTTTTAAAGAATATTTTTTCAAGGACCTTCCAATCAACAAACGTGGATTTTTTAAAGAATATTTTTTCAAGGACCTTCCATTCAACAGACATGGATTTTTTAAAGAATATTTTTTCAAGGACCTTCCAATCAACAGACGTCGATTTTTTAAAGAATATTTTTTTCAAAAACCTTCCAATCAACAGACGTGGATTTTTTAAAG